TTTATATTAATTATTTTTCATATTCTGATAGTTAAGTTCTCTCTCAAGTGATTCATTCTCTGTGCTATTGGATTCTTTATTAGCATTGATTTTCTTCAGGGATTTTGAATTTTGGTTTTCAGGCTATCTTGACCGGAATATTCTTCCTCCCTCCCTGAGTCTCACTGGTGCACCACTCTATTCTTGGTCTAGTGATTTTTTTTTAATATATATTTTTCAATTAAAGTTGGCACATGGTCTTATATTAATTTCAGGTGTACAACAGGGTGATTAGACATTTACATAACTCATGAGTTGATCATCCTGATAAATCTACTACCCATTTGACACCGTACATAGTTATTACAACATTATCGACTATATTCATTATGCTATACTTTACATCCCCATGACTGTTTTGTAACTGCAAATTTGTACTTCTTAATCCCTTCACCTTTTTTACTCACTCCCCAAACCCCCTCCCATCTGACAACCATCAAAATGTTCTCTGTATCTACGAGTTTGTTTCTGTTTTGTTTGTTTATTTTGTTCTTTAGATTCCACATGTAAATGAAATAATATGGTAAATACTTCTCTGTCTGACTTATTCCACTCAGCAAGATGCCCTCTAGGTCATTCATGTTGTAGATTGCAAGATTTCATTCTTTTTTTATGGCTAATATTCCGTTGTATATATGTTCCACCTCTTCTTTATCCATTCATCCATTGGTGGACACTCAGGTATCCTTCATAGCTTGACTACTATAAATAATGCTGCAATGAATACATGGATTCTCATTTCCCTTTAAAGTAGGGTTTTGGATTTGTTCAGATAAATACTCAGAAGTGGGATAACTGGGTCCCTGCTTTATCTAATCTACTGTTGATCCCTCCTAAGGTATTCTTCATTTCAGTTATTATAATCTTCATTTCTGATTGGTTCTTTTTTATGTTTTCTATCTCCATTTTTATGTATTCTATATCTTCATTAAATTTCACACTGAGTTCATCTACTCTTCCTTTAAGTTCATTGAGCATCCTTATAACCAGTGTTTTGAACTCTGCATCTGGTAGTTTCCATGTCTCCATTTTGTTTAGTTCTTTTGTCAGAGTTTTGTCGTGTTCTTCCATTTGGAATATGTTTCTTAGTCTCCCCATTTTAGCTACCTTCTGTGTTTGTTTCTATGTATTAGGTAGAGCTGCTAGGTCTCCTGGTCTTAGTAGAGTTGCTTTATGTACTAGGTGTCCTGTGGGACCCAGGGGTTCAGTCTCCCTGGTCACCTGAATCGGGTGCTTCAGGTGTGTCCCTTGTATGGGTTGTGAGTGCCCACCTGTTGTAGTCGAGCCTTGGTTGCTTTTTGCACATTAATGGGAGGGATTGACCCTCAGGCTGATTGATTGTGAAGACTACACAGGGAGTGGCTGACCCTATGGGTTTGCTTTAGCAGGACTCTGATGCCTGCGTAGTCTGCCCTTTGGGTGTTTGTTCTCAGATGCAGCACTAGGTGGTGCTCTGTCTTGGTCTGAAGCCAGCCACTGGGCATGGTAGCCTTGAAGCCTCCTGGGAGGGGCCCCACCACAGGCCAAGTTCAGCTGTGTAGCCTGTGCTCTGCCCGGGGCCACCTGGCAAGAGTCACAGAGCAATCTGCAGATGATCACCACCTGTGCTGGGCTTGAAGGTGCCTTGAGAGGCTAAGCCACGAACCAATGCCAACTGCTGCTAGTGCCAGGCTTGGGGGTGCTCAGCAAGAGGTACAGGGTATGCTGAAGCCAGATACTGCTTGTTTGGGTTTTATGAACCTCTGAGAGATTTTGTAAAAGATTGGCCATTAGTATGTAAAAGCCACTGGAAGCGGCTTGGTTAGGCCTGCAAGTTAGATGGGGCAGAGTCTCAGGGAATCACCAGGGCAAGGTGACCAGTGTTAGCCAGGCTGATGGACTAGCCAGGCTGATGGACACTCAGATATGACAGCTGTTTGCATCTGCATTCTGGGAGTGGAGAAGGCTCAATAAGGAAACAATAGATTCCACCAGCACTTCTGTCTGGGAGAATACTGTCCCTTCAGCCCTCTCCCTGAAGCCAGACAACTCAGTTCCTCCTGGTATGTTCCTGGCATCTTTCAAGCTGCTGCCCTTGTGCTGGAGCTCAGTGTGAGTGAGTCTGTCAGCGAGTAAGTCTGGATGGGGGACCTTTAAAAGAAATGTCTGCAACTCCAGCTGCCCTCTGTTTCATTCAGCCATAATCTCTGTTTTCATAGCCAGAAGTTGTGGGGACTTCTCTTCCTGGCACTAGAACCCTGGGCTGGGGAGCTCAGTGTGGGGCCGAGACCCCTTGCTCCTCTGGGGAGACCTTCACAGACAAGATATCCCTCCCAATTCTCTACCACCACATATGGCTCTGGGACCTGCCTGTTTTGCCTCTTTGCCCCACGTACCAGTCTCAAGGTAGCCTCTTAATATCTGTCCCTAGTTATAAGACTTTTTGTTCAGGTAGACTTTATATGACTCCCAGTGATGGCTGTTCTGTAGTTTAATTGTAATTTTGACATGGTTGTGAGAAGAGGCAAGCATAGTGTTTACCTCCTCTGCTATCTTGACCACCTCTCCAGTGATCTTTAAAGTGCTCCATCTCGTCCCCTTGAGAGCCCAACCCAGAACCAGGCTTTGTGATGGGGGCTTGGGGCTTCTGTCCTTCAGTGATATTAGGAATATTTCCAGCCCAGTCACTGAGAGCAGGTGAGTTCAGGTTCTGGCCACAAAACTTCATATCAGCTATGACCCTGCATATAAGGTGATGGCAGCATTAAATTTTATTTTTATTTTGAAATAACTTAGACTTATGGAAAAGTTGCAAATACAGTACAGAGAGTTCCCATATACTCTTCACCTAACTTCCTCAAAATGTTAACATCTTACCTCACCTAAGAGCAATTATCAAAACCAGGAAATTAACATTGTCAAACTACTATTAACTAAACTTCAAACTTTATTTGTATTTCCTGAGTTTTTCTATTAATGTCTTTTTTCTGCATTATAATCCAAAACAGGATTCCACATTACATTTAGTGATTTTCTATTTCCATAATTCCACCTAATCTTATTAAGGAAGGTCTGTCCTTTCTTCCCATTTATTTATTTCTTCAATTATTTACTTATATCAGCATGGACTCATGGGTATTTATTTTAGTTGATGGGTTGTAATCCAATACAGTGGCCATGGGATAACTTCCAATCCACTTTGATTTCACTCAGTGGCCTGGCTTTCATTTCCCATTTTGCCCAAGGCACTTTTACTCTATATTTTCTGTAAGAACTTCAAGAACTCTTGGTGACCTCTGCTTCCTTCCTGAGATTAGGCCCAGGAAGCCCATTATTTTAGTTTGGGGACAAAAGTCCAGATTCTTAATGTGTCCTGCAAGGTACTGCATTTGGTCCCTGCCTGATTTTCTAGCTGCTTCTTTTTTTCTCATCCACTCTCTTGTTCTCAGTGCTCCAGCCCCATGAAATCTTTTTCTATTTTTTGAATGCCACAAACTACCCCTTGCCTCATAGTCTTTGCTCTTGCTTTTCCCTCTGCTTAGAACACTGTTAGTCCCTCTTTTTTTTTTTTTTTTTGAGCTAAGCCATAGTGTCATTTTTGGTTAGTTATGATACAATTTAACACCTGAACCATCTCTAGCCTGAAATGTCCTTCAATGTAAAACAGCAGGCTCCCACCCAGCATGGCCAGCTTTGCCAGTTTTGTAAATTAGAATGACTTTCCTTCAAGTGGAAAATGTCAGCCCCGAAGAGCTGGACCTTTCTTCAGGTATAAACTGCTAAGCCATAGTGTCATTTTTGGTTAGTTATGATACAATTTAACACCTGAACCATCTCTAGCCTGAAATGTCCTTCAATGTAAAACAGCAGGCTCCCACCCAGCATGGCCAGCTTTGCCAGTTTTGTAAATTAGAATGACTTTCCTTCAAGTGGAAAATGTCAGCCCCGAAGAGCTGGACCTTTCTTCAGGTATAAACTGTGTCATCTGCTCTAAGGAATATAACCAAAGCATCGGGGAATCAGAAGGCAGCAGCTGTTCAAATGCAAGACGAATGTCTTATTAGGTGTCAAGTCATTTGACTTTAGAACTGGTAGGAGAATCAAGAAAATGACAGATGATGACAGCTAGGGAAAGTAAATGAGCATTAAAGAGCAGCAGAATTGCCAGATGGGCTCCTGCCAGTGGCAGTGTTACATACTGATCAGTTGTTCTTCCTTTTCCAGCACCTTTGTGGAGAGATTCTGTATGTCTTGGTTGTTCTGAATTTCCCTCAAGTGTCTAAGGGAGGGTGACTCAATTATTTATGATAGTTGGATCTCAGTTTCCAGACACTAGTCATAGTTTGAAATGGCCCACACTTTAGTCATCTCTGCTTCCCCTTTAGTTTGGTACCATTAGCTCTATAATCTTGTAACCAGCAAAGGGTCAGTCCCTTGTCATGAGGTAGCATGTGTTAGCCCAGATATTGCCTTCATCTTATTCGTTGTGGGGCCAGAGGAGAACAGTGGCATCATTGCTCTATGGATCTCGGTTACAAGGGGTGGGATGCCTCTAAGTCTACCCCCTAGGGTTCTATGTTTCTAATCTCAATTTTAGTGGCAAATTCTCACCCTGCTCCATTTCTGGTTCTGAGACTTAGTAGAAAGAGCCTGGGATGGAGTTAAAGGTCTTAGCTGCCTAGCAGAACACTACGCAGCCACCCTTCTCCATTTCTTGATGTCTGCAAGAGCTCAGATCACAGCAGGCATGCCCCGCATGTGGCATTGATGCAGGGCTTCCTTCTTCTGCCACTCTACCCACTAAGTGCCCCTCAACCAAACTTCTACCGGTCAATACCAATAGACATCATCTCCGGCTCTAACTCTAGGACCAGTCCCAGTTCCAAGGGTCTGAAGTTCTTAGGATTTACCCTGAGGCTTTCTTCAGTTTAGAGCTATAGAGTTTGGGAGCTTCAATCCATACCTTCTCTTGCATCCTACAGAAATCAGGGTGAAATGGCTCACACCTGCCGTGGCACCATCAACCTATCCACCTCGCACTTTGAAACAGAGGATTCTTGCAGTATCGTGCTGACCAGTGGCGCAAGGACCTACCATCTCAAGGCCAGCTCGGAGGTGGAGCGGCAGCAGTGGATCACCGCCCTGGAGCTGGCCAAGGCCAAGGCTGTCCGCATGATGAACAGCCATTCAGGTAGAGAGTGCTTGGTACTGGGTGTACATGCAGTGTTGTGGGTCTGGAGAGAGTGAGAATTGAAAGCATTTGTGGGGCAGTGGTGACCAAGAGACCCAGGCTAGTCCAGACCAACCCTGGAAGGTCGAGGTGTGTATTCGCCCTTCCCACTCAGCTTCATGCGTCCACAACAGTGAGATGCTTACGTGGCTGGCAGTTCTTGAGATGGGAATGTTTGTGGTGGGCAGGGTTGTGTGCCCATGTCTTTGGAAGAGTCTGGTTTCTGGATTTGAGCAGACTCTTCAGATGCTGCAGTGGGTCAGCTCTAGAAGCAGCAGTCAGGGTTGGAAGTCCAGGATCGTAAACCTGTGCCTCAGGACAGACTTTCTTCTAGGTCCATTGTGGAGATTGAAAACCATTTAGCCAGAGCTGCTGCCTTTGCCACAGTGGGAGGCAAGCTCCAATATCCAAGGTGTCCCAAGGGCACCATTCCATTTCCTGGTAAAAGAGGGTTTGGGGCCCATCGCAGACATGGTCTGTGCTTAGCAGGACCTGTGGTCTCAGTTTGGATGCCCATGGAAAGCCACTGTGGAGAATGATGTGGCTGGTGGTGTGGCTGAGCTCAGGACAACCCTGTTGGCTAAGTGTGGGAGCACTGCTGCTCAGTAAAGAACTAGTTTCCTCTTTCTAGCTTCTATTAAGTAAAATAAATGATAAATTACTTCATTTTCTAGGAACCTCCTGAAAAAATAATGTAGTATTTATTGGATTCAGCATCCTAGAACAGTTTTCCTGGGATGGCCAATGGGAGGAGTTTCTTCTGCAGCTCAGTGAAAGTGCTTGTTAACTCAGCTGGGCTGTGCTAGGGATTGCTCGCCTGGACTTCTTCTAGGAAAGGTTGGGATCCCTGAGGAATCAGCCTCAGGCTCACCGACTTCATTTCATGCTGCTTAGGCATGGTCAGAGGCTGGAGACTCAACACATGTCTTTTGTTCCCAAGGGGTTAGCCTTTTGGGTAAGGATACAGGAACATTCTGGTACAACTCAAGGTAGCACATGCTTCGTGTCAGGGAGAAATGATAGGATTCCTCTCCTTTTGGCTTGTTGAAGCACAAATGAATGAATGTATGTAAAGGGGAAGCCTTTAGGCAGGTGCTGTGCTTTTTATAGAAGGATTAGGGCCACCTGATTATTTCTTTAAAAATAGTGCTTGTGGTGGCCTTCTCTGAAAGGCAGTGTCCTCATCCCACGGTTCTCAGATTGACATTGGAGAGTTGTGGTCTGTAACTTTTTGCTTGGAGTAAGCTCTAGGTGTCCCTGAACAAGGGAAGGCTGCCTAGTGTGGTTCTCCTTGTCTGGCTGATGGCCACCATCTGGATCAAGGCCCAGACAGTACTCCAGGCAGACTCCTACAGGTCATCCTGGGGACTGTCTAGTCCATCGTCAACTGCAGACCATTTGTCATCTAGTAAGAAGCCTTCTTCCTTCCTTCGCTTACCTCTTGAAATCATCTGCTACTCTTCAGCTTTTCTACCACCCCCAGTCCAGTTACCATCCCCTCTTACCTGCTCGTGTGGACCAGCCTCCTTACCGTCTTCCTGCCTGCAGTCAGTTCTCCAAACACCAGGCAGGAGGACATGTTAAAAAATGGAAATTAGATCACATAAATGAAACAAAAAATAGAAAAACATAGAGAAAATCAATGAAACCAAAAGTTGGTATTTTTTTTTTTAAAGATCAACAAAATTGGCAAACCTTTAGCTAGACTAACTAGGAAAAGAAAGAGAAGACTCAAATTATTAAAATCAGAAATGAAAATAGAGACATTACTACTGACTTTACAGAAATGAAAAGGATTGTTAAACAATACAATGAACAAATGCACACCAACAAGTTAGATAACACTGAAATGGGCGAATTCCTAGAAATATACAAATTAACAAAACTGACTAAAGAAGAAGTAGAAAATCTTAGTAGACCTATGATAAGTAAAGAGATTGAATCAGTAATCAAAAATCTCTCCATCCACCGCCCCCACCCCCCATAAAAACAGGACCAGATAGCTTCACTGGTATATTCTACTAAACACTTAAAGAAGAGTTAACACCAGTCCTTCTCAAACTTTTCAAAAACAAACAAAAACAAAGAGGAGGAACTACTTCCTCACTTGTTCTATGAGGCTAGCCCTATACCAAAGACAAAGACCTCTTATGAAATAGATACAAAAGCACTCAACAAAATACTAGCAAACAATATCCAATAGCATATTAAAAGAATTATTTACCATGACCAAGTGGGATTTATACCAGGAATGTAAGGGTAGTTCTGCATAAGAAGACCAGTCAATATAATATACTATATTGATTGAAGAAAAAAAACCCCACACGATTATCTCAACTGATGCAGAAAAAGGATTTGACAAAATCCACACCCTTTCATGATAAAAACACTCAGAAAACTCAGATTGGAAGGTAACATCTTCAATATGATAAAGGGCATTTATGAAAAACTCAGAACTAATATACTCATGGGAAAAAAACCTGAACATTTTCCCCCTAAGATCAAGAACACAACAAGGAAGCCCACTTTTACCACAGCCACTCAACATTATATTGGAATTTCTAGACAAGCAATTAGATAAGAAAAGGAACAAAAGGAAAAATTGGAAAGGAAAAAGTAAAACTTCCTATTTGCAGACCACATGGTCCTAAATATAGAAAATCTCAAAGAATCCACCAAAAAATCTATTAATGCTAATAATCAAATTCAGCAAAGCTGAAGGTCATAAGATTGACAGATACCACTTGTATTTGTAGTATGTAGATACTAGCAGTGAACAACCCAAACAGGAAATGAAGAAAACAATTCTGTTTAAAAATAATAACAAAAAATAAAATACTGAGGAATAAATTTAACCAAAGAAATGATAGACTTGTTCACTGAACTAAAAAATATTACCGAAAGATATTGAAGACCTAAACAAGGAGTGATATCCTGTGTTCATGGATTGGAGGACTTAATATTATTAAGATGGCAGTACTGCCCAAACCAGTCTATAGATTCAGTGCAATCCCTATCAAAATTAAAATACCTTTTCTTTTCTTTTTTTCTTTTTTTAGAAATAGGAAAAAACATCCTAAAATTCATATAGAATCAATCAATTTCAGGGAACCCAAAATAACCAAAAAATCTTGGAAAAAAAAAAAGAACAAAGAGAACTCTTTCTAATTTCAAATTTACTATAAAGCTATAATAATCAAAATAGTATGGTACTGACATAAGGATAGACACATAGATCAATGGAATAGAATTGAGAGTCCAGAAATAAACCCACACAGCTATGGTCAGTTGAATTTCCCAAAGGGGAAAGTCCCTTCAACGAATGGTCCCGAGATGACTGGATATCTGCATGCAAAAGTATGAAGTTGAACCCCTACCTCATACTGTATATCAAAACTAACTTAAAATGCATCAAAGACCTAAATATAAGGGCTAAGGCCATAAAACTCATTGAATAAAAAAGCAGTAAATTTTTATAGCTTTGGATTTAGCAATGGTTGTTAGATATGACACCAAAAATATAAGCAATCAAAGAAAAATATCAGACTCGATCAAAACTTAAAACTTTTGTTCATCTAAGGACATCAAGATAAGGAAAAGACAACCCACAAAATGGGAGAGAATATTTGCAAATCATATTTTTGATGAGTCTAGACTAGTATCCAGAATATTAATTGACAAAGTACTTGAATAGACAAAGAAGATATAAAAATGGCCAATGAACACATGAAAAGATAATCAACATATTAGTCATTAAGGAAATGCAAACCTAAACCCTAGATACCACTTGATACCCATTAGGATGGCTATTATAAAAAATAAAACCCAACAACAACAATGGAAATTAACAAATGTTGACAAAGATGCGGAGGATTGGAACCCTCATACATTGCAGGTGGGAATGTAAAATAGTGCAGCCACTGTGGAAAATTTTTTAGTGGTTCCTTAGTAAGTGAATCATTTAATTGCCCATGTGACCCCAGCAATTCCACTCCTGAGTATGTACTCAAGAGAATCGAAAACAAGTATTCAAACAAAAACTTGTACATGAATGTTCATAGCAGTACTAACTACAACAGCCAAAAAGTGGACACAGCTCAAATGTCCATCAGTGGATGAATAAATAAACAAATGTGGTATATCCATACCATGGAATATTATTCAGCAATGAAAGGGAATGAAGCACTAATACATGCTACAACATGGATAAACCTTGAAAACATGTTGAATGAAAGAAGCTAGACACCAAAGGCCACATATTGTATGATTCCATTTTATGAACTATTCAGAACAGGCAAATCCATAGAGACAGAAAGCAGAGTAATTGATTGCCAGGAAGTGGGGAGAGGGAGAATGGGAAGTGACTGCCTAATGGGTATGTATTTTCTTTTGGGGGTGATGAAAATGTTGTGGAACTAGATAGAGGTGATGGTTGCCCAACATTGTGACTGTGCTAACTATCACTGAATCGTACACTTAAAAATGCTTAAAATGTTAAATTTTGTGTATATTTTACCACACACACATGGAACAATCTCAGATGGCTTACCAGTGCTCTTGGGGTAAAATTGGAGCTACTCACCCTCTATGGCAGCGGGCAGCCTCCTTCTTTCCCCTTTCCCCTCGCCCTCTGCTCAGCTTTTGCTTCAGGCCCTTTGTACTTGCTGGTACCTGCCTAGAACACTCTTGCTGATACCCATGACCCACCTAGCTCTCATCCTTCTGGTCTCAGCTTTCTGTCACCGTAGAAGACCTTAAGCTGTCCCCTTCTCTCAAAAGACATTTCCATCAGAGCATCCTCGTTATTTTCTTCGCTGCCATCTGCCATTATTAATTGACCAACTTGTTTATTTACTTATTGTCTATGTCAATACAACTAAGTCCCTCGAGGGAAAAGAGATACTGTCTGTCTTGTTTCCATGGTGACCCCAGGCCCTGGCACTGAGCTTGGCACTGGGATT